ACCAAACAGTGTACTTGGCTTAATATGTATATATCAAATAAAGTGGAAAAAGGTGCCGACGTTCGATTGTGTGTAGTACTCTTTGAGGGTGTTCAATAAATGCAAAGGGTCTCATATATAGTTCTAAGAGATCATAACTAACAACCCATATTAGCAAATTTAACCCCTGATTCTTTTTTTTTTTTCTCACAAGTAAACTGATCAATCTAAATACAGTCATTAATTGAATTGATTTCACCTTTTGTTATTCTTTTGCAGTTAAATGCAAGTATATCATCCGTGATTGGTAAAAAGGATGAAGCGGTAAATTTGGGAGTAATTAATCCAAATGATATTGAATCAGGAAGTCCAAGTTATTATAGATACATGGGATCACTTACTACACCTCCTTGTACTGAAGGAGTTATTTGGACTGTTAATACTAAGGTAAGGCCTTAATTAAAGGCTGAATAAATTCCACAATTAGTAATTAATTCCTTAATTAATACGTGTTCTTAATTATTCATATATCTTAACTGCTTTTAGGTGAAGACTGTTTCAAGAAGTCAAATTAATTTGCTCAAAGAAGCAGTCCTCTATGTAAGTTATTTAATATTGTCACTTAATTGAGGTAAAAACATCATTAGTCAAATCAATTTTCTTTGTAATTGTCTTGATTAATTTCATTTTTTTACAGTATGCTAAAGAAAATGCCAGGCCATTGCAACCACGTAACAACCGAGATATTTTCCTCTACTTCTCCAGATTTGGACCACTGACATTCACAAATTTGCAACCTTTGTATCAGATGTAAATATTGTACAGAATAAGCTATGAATAAACTAAGAATAATGTCCATACGCTGTACTGAATAATGGAGCTAATATTGCATCCAGTGGGAGCAATGCTTCAAGTAATAATAAAAAGTGTGAAATAATGTAATAATAAAATAATAATTTAAATGTTATAACGTTTTATAATTGTTCGTTATGCGTTTTATACTTTGAAGATGTTGTATAAATACATCATTCTAAATTTTATGAAATAGGGTTTAAGATATAGCAGAGCCACATATTTCGATAAATCATTTCTTTCTTATTTATAAATTATAAAGTATTATTAAATTATAAAGAAAGACAAGAGTAAGAAGATGGAATAAGAGAGAAAAATAGAGAGAGCAAAAATTCAAGTATATATTTATTATAAAAATAACAACTACATGTGGTTTGAGCAAAAAACTAGGAGTATAATGTAGATAGACTTCGCTTTAGCGAATAGAGTTTGAGACGACATATTTTAGAAGAAAGAGAATAATAAAATAGATCTTTTATATGTTTGGTGCCATGTGATATATTTCTTCAGATGCACAACGGGTTCTCTGTTTTGGTCCCCATATTTGAGGGACTTTCAATTTTTTTTCCTTAATTTGCGAAATTGATATGAAAGTAGTAAAATAAATTAATGTTAGTGAATAGTGCAAATTAATAATTTCAATACCATTCCAAACAACAGTGAAATTGTGCATTCTTAAAATGTAATAGTGTACCTAATTATATTACATTGTTAAAATTACTTTGGATAAGAATGTTTGGTTTAGTCTATTAGGAGTACGGAGTAGGTTATTAAGTGTGCCTAATTATATTACATTGTTAAAATTACTTTGTATAAGAATGTTTGGTTTAGTCTATTAGGAGTACGGAGTAGGTTATTAACATGTGAGTTGTTGAATTAATCTACTTGTACATTATTTTTGTACATTAAATTTGACATCCTCCTATGTGTAAAAAATATGATAAGATATTTGAATAATTGTTGTTAAAATCAATGGTCATTATACATGTCATATCAGACAGTGTCAACCAAATTGTCAAATTGTAATGTCCATGTAGCAAAACTGTACTTTGTTGGGCATAATTTACACTTGTGTAACGGTGGTAAAAAATTTCGGAGGCTCGGATGGCTCCCCCACTTTGGGGAGTCAGTTCGAGCTCGGGCCGGTCCGTGGCCCGGGCGAGCCAATATTAAAAAAAAAAAAAAAAAATTTTGAATGTAGCTTGCTACCTGCCTGTTGCAGGCAGCTTGCTCTTGCTGCCTGCAGGCACAAGTGGCAACTGAAGCTGCCTTGCTACTTGCAAGCAGCTGCAGGCAGGCAACTATTTTTAGCTACCTGCAAAGGCAGCTAAGAAAAGAAAAAAAATCAAAAAAATCGAGCCGGCTCGGCCCGCTAAGGCTTGGGCCAAAAGCTCGGGCCGAGCCTTATTTGTTTTGCCGAGCCCGACTTGACTCGACTCGGGCCGAAAAAAGCTCGGGCCTCTTTTTTCCCGGCTCGAGCTCGACTCAGCTTGGCTCGTTGACACCGCTACACTTGTGTGGGAAAGTTTTTTGAAAAGTGATTTTATTTTTCTTTTTATTAAGAATGTATAGTTAAAAACGAGAGAAAATTTATAAGGAAAATTAGGTGTCCAAAAGTCCCAAACCGAGCGGTTCTTCATAAATTAAATACCTGAACGGGGTACCCGAATCGAGAAC